GTAGGCAAGCAATCAAGACCTAGGACACACAGTGCTGGGGAGGGGTGTGGACAGCAGACTGGAGGAAGGGCAGGGAGAGGGGCGAGCTGACCGGAGAGAGGCCTCTGCTGGGATCCTGCTCAGGAAGCTGGGTGATCAGAGGGGTCAGTTCTCCTGGGGATCTGCAGCACTTTGGGTTTCTAGCATTTCCCAGGCTGGGTGGAAGCCCTGAGATGACGCTCCACATCGTCTGGGAGTCATCAATACTAGAAATACAAGATACCTATTTACACCTGTTTATACAGGAGGTGAAAGCCAGGCTCGTTTCTCCCAAGGTGCTTGGCCAGGGCCTCTTGGTTATCACCTCCCTCCCCACGGGGCGCCGGGAAGGCTTCCAGAGCACTTGCACTCCAGGACATGCTCCCTTCAGCTCAGAGGAGCCCTGCCTAGCCAGGAGAGGGACACCTCCCCCACACTGTGGGAGGCCCACAGGAGGTCAGGGAGCCTGCTGAGTTTTCTTTTGCCCTGGTTCATTTTCCTTCTGGAGCAGCAGGCTCATCTCCTGCATTTTTAATAGCTGAGCATATTTAGCATTCAGCACACACGTGTGGGTTGATAAGGCCCAACGAGAAGGCAACAAGCCATGTGGGGGAGGAAAACCTTCTCCCTGCTCCCAACCACTTCAGTGGGTTTGTGGATTTGAGTTCCCCTAAGGCTCACTTCCTGGGCCAGGGCAGCGAAGTGACAGCAGGTGGGGAAATCAGACTGGCTGACCCAATCCCTGTGCCGAGGCCGGTCCCCTGGCCAAGCAGGGGCTTCTACATGAAGGCTGAAACATTCATCTTAGCTCAAAACAGCCAAGCAATATCAGCTATTCTTCAATCAAAACAAAAGCCAAGCAGTCACAATTCCCTCTTGATCCAGGGACAGAGTCACTTTGCCCACTTCCTTCTGCCTTTTGTGGGCTCCATGGACACCCACACTGCAGGACACCAGACAGGGTGCTCTCTGGCCTCTGGCACCCCAGGAGTGGTCTCCCAAGCAGGACAGAGAACTAGTGCAGAGAGGCTCTGACAGCCCAGGAGCTGGATCGGGGGCTGGGCGGGGCAGGCACTGCCAGGCAGATCTGCAGGGGACAAATCTGACAGCATGGAGAGGCCCTCCCTGTTCCCCCCTTTCTTGTAATGCAGAGTTATTTTTGAACCTCCCCAGCCACAGAAGGGAGAGAACAACGAGCCCACAGATCATTTAACCTTGCGTGAGATGCCGAGGTCAGCCTTTACTCAGGAGTGGTGTTTTTATTGCTGTACATGTGAATTTGAGCTCCTCAGGAAAGGGAGCCCCTAACCTACTCTTGCATCAAATCTTAAGGCCAGAGCCCAGCACCTGCAGGCAGGCTTACGCTTTCTTGACCTTTAGGGGCTGACACAGAGCTCCTTTGGAGCAGGGGAGCAGTAGAACTTGGGCAAGGGACTCTCTGCATGGCCCGATTGGGTCCCCCAGGTCTGTTCCCACCATACACTGAGCAACAGCAGGCTAATATGGGAAAGGAGCGAAATCCTTCCACTTTGGAATTCCATACTACTGTTGGAGAGCATAACATTCGAGAGATCCTAGGAGCCACACAAACATACCTGTGAATCAAAGAACCAGAGGGCCCCACACAGGGTCACTGACCTGGGTATCCAGACCTGTGTTCTGTGGCCACTGAGCACTTAAAATGTAGCTAAGGAACTGACTTCTAAATTTTATTGTATTTTAATTCATTACATTTGAAAAACACATACTTGATTCACTTAACAGAAAATGTTTGGATCACCCTGGGTATGCAAATCTATTTTATAATCCCTAACTTTCTATGAAATCTAAATATGGATCAAGAATTGCCAATGAATTGAGTATCCAAATTGCGATGTGCTGTAAGTATAAATGACACACAGGATTTCAAAGACTTAGTATGGAAAAAAAAAGTGGAAACCATTTCCCTGATTACATGTTGAAATGGTAATATAGTGGCTAGATTAGGCTAAATAAACTGTATTATTATTAAGATTAATTTCATGTGTTTCTTTTCATTTTTTTTCAATATGGTTACTAGAAAATTTAAAATTACGTGTGGCACACACAGTATTTCTACTGGATAGTTTCAGTCTGAACAATTCTAGACAAAAGGTTAACCGTCTCCAGGAATGGAAACCTTGAATCCCTTTCAATGGTCAGATCCATTTCATTCAATTCAACAAATATTTACTGACAAGGGGACCGTGTTTGCTGAGTGTGAGGACCTACCATGTAGGAGGCCCTGCAATTACTACTGAGTGGAAGGCATACAGGAGGTCTAACCTATGGAAGACCACAGAGAGAGTCACAGGTAAGGTGGAAATAAAGTGCCATGGGGATTAAAAGGAGACACCAGCAAAACAGGTGGCTGGCAAGGAGCAAGTGAATGAGGAGAGAAGGGTTTGGAAAAGAAGGTGGCCAGTGGGATGGGCGGCAAGGGGACAGCCAGGGTGTGGAGGAGAAAACAGGGAGGAGAGTGCGGCCAACGCAGATGTCAGGTGTCACACTGAGTGTTTGAACCCAGGGGTCAAGAGAGAGCCATGGGCTGGGAATGGAGATTTGAGAGTCATGAGTGTAGACACAGGCATTGAAACCATGAGTATGGATGGGGCGTCCAGAGAAGGGACATGGTTTGAGAAGAGCAGGGGCCAAGGGTGGGACCCCAGAGAAGAGGGGACAGGGGAACAGGATTCTGAAGAGACGGGGACTGCTAAGCCACAGTTCTGTCCACACCTTCCTGGCACAGATCCTCCACTCTCCGGGGAACCCTCCGGGAACTGAGGCTGAGGCCGAGCCCTCGAAGCCTCCAAGCCAGACCTGCCCAGCCCTGCCGGCATCCGTCCCAGTGATGGCGGGGAGGGGATGACGGCCAGGTTGTGGAGGAGAGAATAGTAAGGATAGTGCGGCCAGCGTTCAGCCTCATTCCTGGCATGCCCCATGGTCAGAATGCCCACCTACCTGAAGTTAGGTAAACTCACCCATTAGCTCTCTGCCCTTCACACAAAGGGAGCACTCCAGCTTCTGGACCTTTCTTTCCTAAGAGTCATTTCTCTCCTTTCAATCCTTTTGGTTTCTCTGCTTTGGACTCTGGCCATTTTTTTTCTGATTCTTTCAAAACTACTTTCTGCTCTAGCTGAAGGGGCCTTGCCCACAGTAGGCCTTCATAAATGCAAGTCAGATTGGTGTGAATTGGAGGAGACTGATCTAACCCCAGGGGCTCCGCAAAGGCGTGCCTCCTGGGAGGACACCTGATGCTATGTCTCACCCCCCGCAGGACTGCATTTATATTCATTAGGTACTGTGTTCATTTTATGGTCTTCCATGACCCCCAGGTTTCCTGGCTTATTCCTCACGAGACCCTGGACTAGCTTTCCTCTTTTGGTTTCTCTGCAGCTCATTTCTGGACTCTGAATAAATGATTTCCTCCTTTTTCATTCTTAACTTCAGTCTGAGCCTGAAGAGACATTTTTCTCCTCTTTCAGAAATTTGACCCCTCACTGGTTATCACTGGTTTTAGGGGTTCTGTCCTTGGGCACACACGATCATAATGACATTAGCACCAATATTTATCACATGTGTGCTCTGTTCCAGACGCTACACTTGCTGCTTTTATAGAAATCCTCACACTGATCCCATGGGGTGGAACTATTATTAGCCCCATTTTACAGGTGAGGAATACTAAGGCCCAACAAGATCACACAACTTGCCCAAAGTCACCCAGCTGAGAAGTGTACACAGGCCATGATTCAGAGCTTGTACTTCTTTCAGGACACCTGAAGCTCCCTCGGCAAACAATCTTCCAGGGGCACTCTGAGGTCACAGATAAGAGACTCACATTCTTGGCAGGCAGGCCCAGAGGCCACCAACTGCCACTCGGAGGCTGGGTTTTCCCTAACCAGCTATGCCCTCTGACAGGATGGACCCAAGAGCCTGCCAGTCACACGAGACAAAGCTTATCCACGAGGCCCACCTGCATGACCGGTAACTCTGCTCCTCAACAGCCGGGCCCAAACCTCTCCACTCCAGCCCAAGAGGCCCTTTAATTGACCTGGCATAATTAGCTCTTCACAAAGTCATCATAATTTCCAGCGTGCAGTGACAAACCAACTGATGGATGACTTAACTCCACAGCTTCCATTGGTATCAACTTCAGGGTAATTAACTACCATTAATTAACAAAGCACTCTTTCTCTTTAAATAGATATATTGGACAGATTCCACACTCACTCCTGTCTGCCTACCTGAGGCCTGAAAGATAAGGCTTGAGGCTCAACCCTTCCATGTCCCAAGGTGGGCCTGTCATAATTTGAAGCCACTCCTTTTTCTGCCTCCTGTCCTTGTTTTCAGCTTGGCTTCCTGTCTGTCTGATCTACAGGTATCTTTTCCCTGACTTTTTGGTCAAGACTGAGATAAAAAAAAGAATTAAAAGCTTCTGATTTTTCAGTCATCTGCAATGGGCTCTCTCCTACCCCATCAAAGGGGTGACATTCTCTTTGGACTTTCTCACTTCCTCCCGTGGTCAGCTCCCAGTTACCTGCCTCTGCTGGCAGCCTTGGCGTGGCAGGAGGCCCTGTGGGGGGCCGGGACCAGGGCTGCCCTCCCCCTGGGCAGACTGTCTGCATGTTTGATAATTCAACTCCAACGTTTCTCCTCACTGGCACAGAAAATTGAGAGGTGACCATATAACTGAGGCATATTTTCCCGTTACCCTTTCCTTAGTCACAACATGGTGCAGCAGCTCAGCAAGAGAAGAAACTCCCCCGTCAGGCCCAGGGCACCTTAGGTCCCGGGTTCCCTCCAGTGCTTAGGTTCCTGCCCTTCATTTGGCCACTGACCTCCTCTGTCCCCCAAATTCCTGGACACAATGCCCAGGAACAAAGCCAGAGGGTACACAGTTTGCCCTGGTGACAGGAACAAGCAGTAAGGACAGACAGCTGCTGGCTCCCAGCACCGACACTCACCATGGTTTATCCCTGGATCCTTTCGCAGAAAAGACTGTGTGCTGCCTGCTGCTGGAGGTAAGAAGATTGTCTTTGGGCGTTTTGAATGGCTTTGAGGTGCTGCTGGCAGAGTTATGGCCGCTGAAACAGGCTTTTGTTTTCGCCTGTACTAGTGATGTCCTGGAATGGGAGGGAGGAGGCGCCGGAGAGGGAGAAGGTCTACACATTGAACCGTGTCTTCTCTCTATGGAGGGAGAAAGAGTAGAACTCAGCACATCGTCTGTAGCAGTGAATCTCACATACCCGTGCACGCTCAGACACACAATGGGCAAGAGAAAAGAGCTTGTCTGGCATCATCAGCTCCCAGAAGCCTCAGTTCTGACTACTTGTAACTTGTCATCTACTCTACCCCACCAACCAGCAGTGACCACATTCTGAATTTCTGTATCAAATGGCACGCTGAACTAACACCACATTTCTCATGGGAGGTATTTATCAGGCTGTCCTTCTGCCGTGCCACTTCCACAGGACTAGCAGAGAGAACACCAGGTGTCAGCTGAACACAGTAAGATAACCCCATAGCTGAAGAGATTCCCAGATCAGAGGAGTAAGGTCCCCCAGGGCAGCAGATAGGGCAATGCCCCCGAGAGAACAAACAGGAAACTGCTGCACCTGACCCCCAGCAGCACCGAGGTCAGAAGGACCAGAAGGGCTGCATCAAAGGGCCTTCAGAGAGCCAGCAAGTGGCCTGGCATCTATCCATCTGCCACTGTGGCCTCTACAGGGCTCACTGAGGCCTAGGACCACAGCTGCTGGGCCGGCCATGCAGGAGGAATCAGTGCTTGAGGCAGAATCCACAGGCAGGGGCCTGGACCCGGGCGGGCAGGCATAGCTTGCTGAGGTTCTACAGAAATCCCAGCGCTCCGGGCAGACACACCTTGCTGCTGCATCCTCCGTCAGCTGACTCAGTGCACAGGATGAGGATGCCGACTGGGATAGCAGGTGCATGAAGTTCGAGGGTATACCCTACCCACCATGGGGGTTCTTAACTGTTACAGGTAACAGATTTGATCAAAGTTAAGGACACCTCTCCAAAGATAAGTGCACATTTACACAGGTCCCAAAACTCTGCACACAATTACAGTTAGGAATTATGGACCCCCAGGAGGCCAGGGCTCTGAAATTCTAAGTCCCCACTGCCTCTCTTGTGCCTACTACAGGGCCCCACATAGAGTTGGTGCTTAATTAATGTGGGCTGAATAAATAAAATTATAACACATGTTCTGATGGGAAGAACTAGAGATCACAAATCTGGAAATCTGGGTTAAACATGATAATGAACAAGGGGAAGAAGGCAGACCACATCTGCCCTCCAGCTCCAGGCTGAGTCTCAGGCTTGTCTCACTAGTGAGACATTTCTGGTTGCTATTCTAGGCACCCTGACCTGGGAGAAGAAAGTCGGACTAATCTTGGTTATCTGGGACAGGACTTTGGGGTTTCTCTGTGCTCCCTAATGCCAGGTTATCTCAGAACAGAATGGCTCTACTCCTCTGAGGAAGTGGGAATGGGGGAAAAGCAGGTTTTTGAGGATCATCTGATTGTTGAGTATTTTTGCCTTTACTGTGCTCACCCTGGATAACTTAACTGGGCAGTTTCTCTTCACTGAATCAGAATATACTCTGCATATATGTTCAGTTCCCAGAGCCATCCTGCTGAAGGTTTTAAAAACCAAGAGCTTGTTTCAGGGTCTCTGTTTCGATGTAGTAGTGACAGCCCTGGGCTGGAAGGCAGGAGAGCGAGCCTCCAACTCCAATCACACCACATTAGTAGCCTTATAGCCTGGAGTTCACCACTTAAACATTCTCGGTTTCCATGTCTTTATCTGTAAATGAGGTGGGTCCCTGGATGGCCTCTAAGGCCTCTTTCCACTCCATTCTCACAAATACAAGGCCTACTTACACCTGATCCTTCTCTCTTCATCCCTCATGATTCCTGAATGTTACAGCAATAATTACAGCTCAAATATTGAAATATTTCACTCAGGCAGGCTCTTCCTTGGAGGTATTCATCCTTTGTAAAATTGTACTGGCCTTTACAACCCCTGTGAGACAGGCAGGAACAGCCAGGCATCTCCACCTTCCTCACAGCTGACTGGCCAAGAAGACCTGGAGAGGCGAGGGGACTTCACAAGGTTAGGGCCAATGGCTATGCAAGGACTAGGGCCTCTGTGCCACGTGCAGGGGCCTAGCTTCTTCTCAGGAAGGCAGGAAATGGGGTGTACTGTGACCAAGATTTGAAGTCAGGAAATTAGGAAATGAAGGACTGAGAATCACTGGAGGTTAGAACTAGATCTTAAAAGTCAGCTCATCCAACCTCCTTGATGGATAACCTATCAGTTAGTGAGGTTGTCAGGTACCAGCCTGCAGGACTAAGCTAGTTGGTGGCAATGGTGAGACCAAAACCCAGTTTCTCACTTCAGATCCATAGATCTTTCTGCTCTTCAGAAATGTCTTTTTTGGCTATTTCTTTCTTTCTTTCTTTTTTTGGCAGAGGTTTCCAAAACTAAAATAAACCTTCAATTTTTACCACCACTGCCTGGGATTTTGCTGCAGCTCCCGTTCACTCACTGGCTACCACTCACTCAAGCTGGCAGAGGGGGTAAGCAGGAAGGGTATGCAGAACTATTCGTCAGTTCCAGTGGGAGATAAACCTTGGTAATGAATATAAATTTTATCTTGCTAAACTAAGAGTTAGAAATAATATGAGTACATAAAGATAAATCAAGGAAAGGTGCCAGGAGGGAAAAATGGATGGGCCAGACCAGACATTCTACAATCACCTTCTCAGAGAATCCTGGTTTGCGGCTGCCTACACATTCTGCTGCTAAACTCACAGAAAAAACTAAAACAACGGAGAACCCGTTTTCTTGGTTTTATATTTCAGTTCCGTAAATTCTTCTTACCAATCCAAAGGGCAAGTGGAGAGAATATTCATCAAAACTTGAAGCAGCCCTTTACCCTTCATTTTAAAAATCTGAGTCTTTGTATTGTAATATCAGATTAAAGTAGTATTTCCTACTTGTGAAACTGTTCCTTGTTGCTCAGACTGAATTGAATCTATCACTTTTTTAAGGTATCGCACAAAGAGATGTGCACTTCTGTCTCCTGATTTGCGAATTAGGCTGCTTGCCACCCCTGGTGCTGGTGGGAAAGGCTCTATAAGAATTGAAAGTGGGAAACAGGGGTCAGTGTGATCAGAGCTTCAGTCAGGAGGTGAGCTTCACCCTGCACTTGGCTAAGCTTTTGAAAATGGGTAGAACTGATGTCCTGAGTAAGGCAGAGTAAGTAAGCAGATTTTTCAGAAAGCTCTATTCAATGTGTATCTCTAGTCTGTGAGGACACAGCTATTGATAACTTACAAGGTTTTGTCTTTTGACCGAGAAGTGGGTGGGCTGGTGATAGAAGAACACAGGGTCTTAGTTTCTGCAAAAAGATACTGCTGTGCAGGTGGAATGTCTCTGGGTAAAGTGCTCCAGGTTTGTATTAAAACCATTCTGACAAAGGCCCTCACCTGCTTCGGACTTACTCATTTCTTTTCCCTTTTGGTCAAGGCACTGCCTTAGGCAGACCCTTAACATTATTCTAATTCCACTTGCCATGCCCAGAAAGAGTTTATAGGCCGTTGTATTTTTTACTCACTACTAAGACATTTTATAGACTGAAACAGTTTTAGAGAAAAAGAGCCTTTCCCTCCACATTTTTTCATTTTTTGTTAATGTGCACAGATGCATTAACAAAAATAACCAACTGATATTTTGGACTCTTCTTTTTCAATTAACATTATCTAATGATACATTTCTAATTCCCATATACTGGTCACTTAAAATGGCTAGGTAATATTCAATCCCTGACATGCTGTACATTATTTAGCCACTCTCTTACTATCTACTTACTGTTTTTTTTTAACTATTTATTTAAAAAGCGACTTAGGATTATTTCTCTGAGGTATAGTTCCAAAGTGAAAAGCTGCAACAGTTCAGAGCTCTTGCAACACATTTCTTTCCCGACTGTGTTTCTGAACAGAAAGACCAAACCAACCTATTGTGCTAATGTTGAATATGAGTACCACTTACCTACTGAAGTGAAAACAGAAATTCACTATCAGAACACCTACTCAGAATTAAGTGTCCATTACCTCAATAACAGCTTAGTGATTGCTCTTGGATCAGCAATCTCTGATCTCAACCCTTCTGTCCTTTGACCAACAGTAATCATAATTTATTAAGACTTTCCTATATGCCAGGCACTCAACTAAACATTCAATTTACCATGTAGCATTTAATTCTTATAATACCATAGGAGAGATACTATTATTATCTCTGTTTTATGGATGAAGAAACTGAGGTTCAGAGATATGTGTTGCCCAAGGTCACAGACCTAGGAAACATTGGTTCTGGGGATGTCTTCTGAGCCTGTGGTCTTAACTCTGTGCTTTATCGCCTTGATATCTCGGAAATACTGCAGCGAACGGGAGAGCCGAGAGGGCCCACTGGAGCCCTGGCTCCACTGTGCATGGGCGTTTCAGCACGGCGCCTGACTTCCCCAGGGACAGGAAAGAAACATCTTTTAGGTGTTTGACAGCTTTCAGGTAACAGTCAGCAGCCCCATGTCAAAGCCTGAAACCTCAACTTTAAAGGGCTTGGGGACCCTAGGACCAAAGAAATGAAAAACCAAATCCTGTCACTTTTTTGTATTTCCATTACGGGAAGTCTAGACCCTGGATCTCAGCAGCTGGCTGTTCTACTGTGACCTGCTTCACCATATAGGCCTTAACCATCCAGGCATGACTCTAGGGCACAATCCAGAGACCAGCTGAGCAGGGGGCTTGCAGACACTGACTCTCAGAGTTACAGAAAATCTCCATTAGGTGTGGGGAGCCCTGGGGCCTCCACAATTCTTCTCCATTACTCTCCTTGGGTAAAAGCCACCAGGTTCTCATGCAATTCAACTTCAGTAAAAATTTGGAACCTGCTTCCCCCCCTGTGCTTTTCTCATGGATATATTTTCATACTCACAGCATCAATGTCCTGCATGCAAAACCTCAGTACAGACACCTCATGAATGACCGAGCTGGCCGCCAATACCCAGTGTGGCTCCCTGTTCCAGTTTTAGAAAGAATGGGTTGGAATTTTCCAATACGGCCTTTAAGAGACCAACCTCCTCCCCACAGACTTTGAGCGCCATG